ACACCAGCCTATCCTTCAAGTCAGAATGTTTTTGTTCCAAAGTTCCGTCAGCTTACGTTTCACTACACTGAATTTCATTTGTCATGTTAATGGCCACTCACTCAATGCAGAGAGATCTTCCTGGAGCTCCTCATAACCTGCCTTGGGCTTCACCATCCTGAACAATTATCATCTACAAACTCAGCCACCGCACTGCTCATCCCCAACTCCAGAACGTTTGTGAACAAATTCAATACCACTGCTCCCAATATCAATCCTTGTATTGTACACCTACTGTTATCACCCTTAACCATATGCTTGCTACGCTGCTCAAAGACTGGCTTGTAATAACTTGGACCCCTTCCGGACCTCTTAAAAAATCAGTGGGTCGTTTGCTACTTTCCACTCCTCTGGTACAGAGACTAATGGCAGTGACGACTTACATATACTGGTTAGGAGATCAATGCTTTCACGTTTAAATTTCCTAAGAACTTTTGGGTGTATGCCATCCACATGCAGGACTTAGTCGTTTTCAATTTGCCTAGCAGTCTAAGAAACTGTCTCTCATCAGCTCAATCTGACTCATTTCTTCAGAAACTCTTCTCCAAAACAGCTGCTCCAGGGTGGGTGCCTGCCCCACATTTTTCCACAGTGGAAACAGACACAGAGAAACTCATTCAGTTTCTCTGCCATCTCCCCATCTTCCTTTCATTTATTTAGTTATTATTTATTTATCAGATTTATACCCCGGGGGCTCTTTTTGTAGCAGGAAGTCCTTTGCATATTAGGAGACACACCCCTAATGCAGCCAATCCTCCAAGAGCTTACAGTAGCCCCTGTAAGAAGAGCTCTGTAAGTTCTTGGAGGATTGGCTACATTAGGGATGTGTCGCCTAATATGCAAAGGAGCTCCTGCTACAAAAAGAGCCCTGCCCGGGCGGGGCGGCACAAAGCAGGCTCAGGGCGGCTTCCATACAAACATAAATACAGTTAAGATCATACAATTATTTAAAATACGACAGATAAAATACAAACACAAGGTGCTGGCAACAGTTAAAAGATTAACTTAGATGGCTCATTTTCAAGATGAATTACCCCTTCCCAGATCTTCTCAGATGTTCTTCTGCTCAGAATTTCTTATGGCATCGGCTCGATATTAAAGCCACGGGCCAGGGCTCAATGATAAAACCACAAGCCAGGGTTCTACGACAGTGACGGCCCCTAATTAAATGCCTGACGGAAGAGTTCCGTCTTGCAGGCCCAGAGATCAGCTGCCTCCATGCTCCATATATATCTTTATCTTGTTTTTAGCTGCAGTGGTCTGCTTAAAGCCATGGAATGCAATAATAGCTGAGGCCACCAGCTTCAACAAGACCTCGGCCAACGCATACCAGCTCCAAGCAGTGGCTTCCGTTTGTTAGAATAGTGCTATACTCTGGATTCCAGAATCAAGAAACCAGTAGAGGCCCCTTGTAGATCAGGCAAGAGGAGAGGCTTCCTTACAAGACCTTGCCCAGGGCACTGCCCTCAGTTAGGTAGCCCTCCGTGGAAGCAGCTCACACAGAACTCCCTTTTGTCACCCCCTCGGGATTGATCGACACATCTACATCCACAGGAGGTGGTGGCTACAAGCATGGACGGCTTCAAGAGGGAATTGGATAAGCATATGGAACAGAGGTCCATCAGTGGCTATTAGCCCCAAGGGATAGATAGGAACTCTCAGGCTGGGGCAAGGGATGCTCTGTCTTCTTGGTGCTTGGGGGGAGGGGGCAACAGTGGGAAGGCTTCTAGTGTCTTGGCCCCACTGGTGGACCTCCTGATGGCCCCTGGTATTTTTGGCCACTGTGTAACAGAGTGTTGGACTGGATGGGCCATTGGCCTGATCCAGCATTGGCTTCTCTTATGTGCATATGCTCTTATGCACTTCAGGTGTCTCTTCTTATTGCCATCACTTCCCCATGATTCATAACATGCCACATCCCCACAGATAACACCAGGATAACACCCCTCAAGTGGTGGACCATCGCTATATGTCAGCTCCTAAGTATACAGGAGCTGTAGTTCAGCTAAGGCACCTCTGCTTTTCATGCTGTTAGAAACTCCTGCAGAAAGATGCAAAAAAAAAGAAAAAACAGCTGGCTGGCAAAGGCACCTGCCAAGAATGCCGTGCTTCTGTTGGTCCCGTGTCCCCTCACAGGCTCCTGGCTTTTCTTGCTCACGCCACTCCATTTTTAACAGATCCGCTCAGCCAACATTCTTCTGCCTCCTGACAAAATCAGCAGCGCACGTTATGTATTTAAGCTTGACTTTTACCCTCTTTCAACATTTTGGTCTCATGGCACAGCCTTGCCTCACAAGCAAAATGGTGCGCGCGCAAGCACACACACGCTGCTCAGGGTTTTCACTATTACAAAAAAAAAAGAGTCAAGTGATTTTCCGTTCCAGGAACCGCCATCTGTTAGGGTAGGAAAACGCAAGCATTTGGGTTTTATTCAAACATCTCTATCCATAATTGGGTCTGGAGAACGCTTACGATAAAAGCACGGCAAAGAACATCGCCCATAATCACAGCAGACAGCATAACCATGAAGGATTAGGGCGCATCTGAGTGAGGTGTGACATGCTGGTTAAGGGAATGGACCCCTGTTGAAAATCTCACTCCTGCCACAGACTCACTAGGCAAGCTCCTCTTTCCCAGCCTCACCCCTTCCCCCACCTACAATATGGGGATGGTAACACTGGCTTCATTGACAGGGCTGTTGTAAGAATGAAATCATTAAGTACATGAACCATTTCCAGCAACTAATGCTTAATGTAAATTCCAAGTGTTATTACTAGTACTCTAAGGGTCCAAGCTATTTCCTTTACGCGTAAAACTATCACATACAGACACAGCTGCTTTATTCTTCCCTAAGTGAAAAACCACACATATAAAGCTTTTCTTCAAGGAAAGTAAGGTGACACATGAGAGATTTTGAAAATGAAAACAGCCGAAGAAGAAAAAGTTACTGCACTCAATATCCCAGAACGCTATTTTGTTTTTTAAGACGTAGCCAGGGGACAGTTACACACAATATGTATAGTTTGGCCCTAGGTGTTTGCTTTCTATTGTACACATGCAGGGATATCCCCTGTCTGGACTAGCCAGTTCACTGGATGACCACACTGTGAAGATGGAGCAAAACACACCACCTGCCCAGGAAAAAGCCTGTTGCCCTTCTAAGGGCATTTCAACCTTCAAACGTGAGACCCCCAGCAATTCATTTAATGTTTTCAAGAACCCCTTAATGACCTGGAAACAGACCCAAGTGCCTCTTCCTGCATTTGACAAAGCAGACTCTCTCCTATGCAAGCAACAGGCAACAAAAAGGCCAATTAGACTTTAAGGTAAAGGCGCACGGAACGCTGTTACCTTCCCACCGAAGTGGTACCTATTTATCTACTTGCAATTTCTTGCTTTCGAACTGCTAGGTTGGCAGGAGCTGGAACTAGAGATGGGAGCTCACTCCATCATGCAGCACCCAGGTCTCGAACTGCTGAACTACTGACCTTCCACAGCCTGTTGTTCAGTGTCTTAACCACTTGAGCCGCCGCAGCTCCTTGACTTTAAGGTAGCACAGTACAGTTTAGTTTTGCCACCTCCTTTGTTAACTTTGAGAAGATGGATGGTGCTGGCTAAAAGTTTAAACATCTACAAATTTTTACAAGTCCTAAAAAGGAAGAAGCAGGAACAAACTTACCTCCTCCACGGAGACCGGCAAAATGACGCGACTGCAAGAGAACAGAACAGAAGAGGAAATTCACTAAGGCCTGATGGCCAGAAAAATTTAGACAAAAAGCAGAAGCTCAATGTCCCCTCTGAGGATCAAAGCCCCGGTGGTTCGACTTTAACTATGCCACGCCTTGACAGATTTTCTCTGGCTCTAGTAGGAAGGCCAAAAACTTAGGAGTCGGTCTCATTCAGAGTTTCATGTTCTATGATCATATTTTCCAAGTGTTGCTATCTAATCCTAAAACTCTTCAAGTGTCTCTCAGTTTTATTAATACTATGGCAAAATTATTGTAAATACAAACATAAATATGGGGTAACCTTGGTTGTCATCACCATAACAAAGAGCTAACCTGTAACCCTAGCTTCTCCCATGTTTTTTTTTTTACAATTTAATTACTGCTTTTAAAGGCTCAATTTAAGTGGACAGAGAAAGCAACGGTTTAGGAAATGAATTCATCCACCGCCACTGAATCGTGTTAAGTTTACATAGAAACTACCAATGACGAGAATTTCACGCCCGTGTTATTGTGACGGCAGACAACAAACCACATTCTGATGTGAAACAATAAATAAGCTTTTAATTTTTACTAAAGACTGACGAAAGACGCCGCAATAAAATTATTGCTGAAAACATTTATGTGCCACAATGAAATTTCTAAAGACTATGATGACCTGGCGCCTGGGATTTTGTCAAGCCTTGAACTGCATGATGCCTCCATGTCACTTCTCACACCCACCAAGAGGGGGCTGAGCCTTGCTGCCACAATCCCCACAGTCACTCACCCCAGAGACTGATTTATGTAGCATATTTGTATTCTGCTTTTCTCAGCGATGGGGACCCAAGAAGGCTAACAATATGCAGAGAGACAAAAACAAACCAAACAAGAATTGGGGGGTGGGGGTGCAAATCATTTACTAATACTAGAAGATATAGGACAATTAAAACAAGGACAAACAGATTAAAAAATAGTTTTTATTCGAGAGCTATTATTGCTTTAAATGCTGTATGAAATTGGAATTTGGGTGACATTGGTGGTTTAAGTTGCAATGTGAACCTTAAGGGGAGTTATGGGATGGTTGTGAATGGTTGTGTGAGTGTATATGAGTATGGTTCACCGAAATAATTGCATCTTTAATTTCGTTGTACTATGTACAATGACAAGTATATTATTATTTTTATTATTATTATTATACACGCTTTGCTCGCTCACATAAAGCAGGGCTTGACAGATTTCGGATGCACGGGTCACAATGACATCTAGACATTTCATTCTGGCACCCCAGGATTTCATTTAGTGTCTCTCAACAATCCTCACGAGAAGTACAAAACTTATATAATTTCACAGCAGAATGTTTTGGAGTAGGACATGAAAATGCACATGCAGGAAATCCTTGCCACTGCTTGCTTATATGTGAACTTTGTACCTTTCAGTGATGATGGAGGATTTCCTTTCTTAACTAGCAGTTTCTATCCTGGCTCCAGTATTCAATTAAATGGGGCTTTTTAAAGCAATAATGACATAGGGGAGAAGTTACAATAGGGTGGGAGGTTAGCTTGTTGGGATAACAAGCAGGATCACTTCACTGCAACACAATTGTTCTAACTTTAATGAAGTTATGAGAAACTGAATAATTTAGGATTAGTTTTTGTGATAGCAATTACTAGAGATGTGAAAGCCTAGGGGGGAAAGTCAACATTTCATGGAGCACTGAAACAAACTTATGATTTCTCTTTGTAATGAATGTACAAAAAGAAAAAAAACTGTTATGCAAGATGATCTACACAGTGATATAAAATGATTTTTCAAGGGCATGTTTGTTTAAACATGAATCATTTTGGCACCAAGGCTATGCGTGTATAACAGAGTTCAGTGTTACATGCTTCATTATACGGTCAACAGTCTTTTCAGTAGATCTGTCATTAAAACATAGCAATTTTGTACATATCTGATTAACAGACTTTTTCCAACACCCAGGATCTAGTCTGAATGGCTCTACTGAAAAAAGACAGCCACTTCTTCCATGATATGCATGTTCTCCTCAACAAGAAATAAGGTGCTGTAAAATAAAAAAAATGATAACCTGATATCCAAATATTCCAGTCGCCCTACCCAATGGGACTCTTTAACCATTTGTCCCAAAAATATACTCTCTTGTTTTACTACAGAGTGCGTTTTCTACTCTCAACATTTTTTCTGTCTCTCAAATGGCAAAAATTAAGATTCACTTGACAAGATAGCATAGGGTACAGCAGTCTGCAGCTCCCTCTAATGTACTGGGCATATTAGTATTTTTTTAATCAAAAACAAAGGCATTATAGTATAAATTCCATAAATATGCCAAACACAACTTTGCATTCTACATTATAAATTCTGCACTTGTATTGTTAAAAGCAGTACAATAAGTAAGAAATCCATTTTTTTTCTGGGAAAGAACTGAAGCTTAAAGCTTCCCAGAAATTTTACATGTGTAGTATCTTCAAGAAAACATGGTTATAAAAATCCAAAACCCTGAATCCTGTTAAACAAGCCTGGGTCCTAAATTTCCCCCCTGGCTCTCTAGGAGAGTCACTGAAGTATTTCAAGGCTGGACACATCAAGGATACCCCCTTAGCAGACCATAAAAGAACACCAATGGAAAGCATCTCAAATTAATTCACAAAATGGCAAAGTTGGTACAGAATGACAACAAAAAATAATTTGGCAGGATTCAGAGAAACAACAGTAGTGAGAATGTCTCCAGTGAGCTTAACAGCACGTACCAAAAACTTTCCTGAAGCAAGGCAAAATACCTCACCAAAGTACATCCTTGAAAGAAGCTACCTCAGGAACACTTAAAAGATGTTCAGGTAACATACACAGTGGCTGGTTACACATACACATATCAAAAATATAGTTGGCCTTAGTATTTTATGCCAATAGCATCACAGGGGGCAAAAAATATATAACAAGGCATTACATATGCTTTCATGTACTTTATTTGGCTTGAAAACATTATAAGCTTTGCTAAATGCCCTGTTATTTTATTTTATATATACAACATACATATAACATATACATATAAACAGGGCATTCAGCAAAGCTTATAATGTTTTCAAGCCCAATAAAATACATGAAAGCAGACTTCAGCAAGGAAAGAGAAAAAGAAATGACACCCACAGGGCAGCTTAACACCCTCTTTGTTTAACAAACAGAAGTACACCTGGAAGATGCTGGTATATTCACTGAAAATCTCTCCATATACGAACTGAGCCCAACCAGCACCCATCACAAGCCACAGAAGCAGGGCAGGGACCAGCCCGGGCTCAAGCTCCATGGCTAACATGGATTACATAAGAGCTGGACGTATTACACGGGTGAATCCCATTCCAAAACTGGCACTACAGAAACATGCAGGAAGATACCATATTGAGGATCACAGAGAAGAGAAGCAATTTTTCAACACTTCAAAAGAGGAGGACAAGGGTACTGATTCAAGCCTGAATTGCTTCCAAAGCACCGAAGTCTAAGTTTTATGACATGCCCAGCTCCCTGCCCTGTGCAGTCACTGAAGAAGCCTCAAACTTTTCCAGCCTTGTCACTGGCCCAAATCATCTCTTTCAAGAAACAGAAAAACCAGGCGACAAGCAGAGCCCAGCAAAAGAGCATCTGAAGCAAAGCGATACATCCAAGACCAACAAGGGATCCTAATAAGGAACCAAACTCTTCTGATACACGAACCAGCACATGTGTCTATTTTGGAACACACGCATACAAGTTTATAAACGACTTTGTACAAGGAAGAGCAAGAGTCCAGTAGCACCTTAAAGACTAACAAAATATGTGGCAGGGTATGAACTTTCGTGAGTCACTGCTCACTTCTTCGGATACTCAGAAAAGGTCATACCCTGCCACAAATTTTGTTAGTCTTTAAGGTGCTACTAGAGTCTTCCTCTCTTTCTACTGCTCCAGACAGACTAACACGGCTACCCATCTTGATCTATCTTCATACAGGAAGCCTGGGTTCACGTCCAAATCAGCACCCAAAAATAGTGAACGTTTATGGAGGAAGTTGCTGGAAAGAAACACAAAACGGAAGATTCTGCAGTCTAGAAAAAACGGCCCAGAGCTCCAGAGAGCTTTGCAGGAGAAAGGGGAAAGTTCCCGTGACACTCATTTTTGGAGAGCACTGAGATGCAAGATGGCATGGAAACCAGCCCACGTCTGGGAATGCCCAAGGGGCCACAGAGGGCTGGCCGGAGGACCCCTCACACAGAGAAACCTGCTTCCCCTTCTCAGCTCCTTCTTGTCTACAAACCCCAGGCAGAGGAATTTGCTTTCCTCCCCCCCCCCGCATCTGAAAAAAGTGGCACATTGAATGCTTCCAATGCGCTGATTTCTCTCTGTGAAGATGAGCATGATATTTAGATCCACACTTCTATTGCCCTTTTGCTGTACTTTGATTGCACTCCCTTGTACAGTCAGTTTGTAGCATTCCTAACAATTTTTTTTTAAGTGAGCTCCTGTTTCAAGAAAGTCCCCCCCCTCCCCGCCTTGCAAAGAAGCGGTCTTCAAGGTGCCCCCACCCCGGGGGGACGGACTCCTGCCTGGTCCCGCCCCACTTCCCTCCTGGCGGGGCAACCGGCAAGCGCCCGGCCCAGCCCCCCTCCAGGGCTCCGCTGCGGCAGCTTCCCGAAAAGAGGAACCGCCGACCTCAAGGGCAACTTCCACGCGCGGCGGAGAGCGCCGCAGCCCGAGCGCCAGAGACCCACCACGGGGGGCCGGCCGGGGAAGACACCGAGCCGGGGGAAGCACGGCCGGAGGGGCGGGACTGGGGGGCTCCTCCGACGGGAAGGGCCTCTGAGGGCGACGCGCGGCCAGCAGGCTCCCCACCGGGGAAGGAGAGCCGGGCGGGACGGGGCGAGAAGTCTCCCGGGCGGGACGGGGCGAGAGGTCTCCCGGGCGGGACGGGGCGGGAGGTCTCCCGGGCGGGACGGGGCGAGAAGTCTCCCGGGCGGGACGCTGCGCGACCGGCGAGCCACAGCGTGACCTTGGAAGGGAGCCGGCCCGCCCGCCCGCCGGCCTCTCTCGCCCGCCGGCCGGCCTCCCCCGCACCACCCACCCCAGCCCGGCGCCTCAGCGGAGCCCCTGCCGCCTTCCCCCTCCTCCGCAGCCGCCCCCGCGGGCGAACGGAAAGGAACGTCCTCCGCCTCACTCACTATTCCTTGACGAGCACCATGGCGGCGGCAGCGAGGGACGCCGCGGCTGCTTCGCCGGCCCGGCTCAGGCTCCCTCCCGGCACGGGCTCGGTCTGAACCCAGGAGGAAGAACGGGCAAGCTGGCTGCAGGGGGGAGGGGGGGAGGGAGGAGGAAGGACGCAGCGTTCCCCGGCAACGCCTATGTCAGCGCGCCGCGCCGACGCCATGGCGTCACGAGGGAGGAAGGGAAACGGGCCCCCCCCCCCCCGCTTGGTTGACTGCGCCGACCGTACTGCGCCTGCGCTAAAAGGGAGGGGCGGGGTTGGAGCGCGGCTCGGGGAGATCCTCGCCGGTGGGTGACGCGCTGCGAGGCGGGTGGACGGGGCCGCGGGGGTTCTGCGCATGTGCCGCGGGGGACGGCGGTGGTTACTGTGGACCGACCCCGGCGTGCGTCTTGCGCCAAGGAGTTGGGCTCTGCAAGGCGACCTTGGATGGCACCGTTGTTCGCCGGGACGCAGGCAGCGCGGGACTCCCGGGGCGCTCTGCGGCTGGCCTGGAAGCCCCGCTCCAGACAGTGGAGAGAGGCTTGCTCGGGAGAGGAGAAAGAGGTGGTTGCCCCAGTTTTTTTCGGCGCTGTGCTGGTTGGGTTGGATTAATCCGGGCTGCAGCGCGGTGCCCGGTAGGGTTACCAACTCTAGGTGGGGAAATTCCTGTTTGGGGGGGTGGAGTCTGGGGAGGGACCTCAGCAGGGTATAATGCCATAACGCCTTCCATAACAGCCATTTTTCTTCCGGGGAACTAATCTGGAGATCGGTTGTCAATCCAGGAGATCTCCAGGCCCCACCTGGAGGCCAGCAGCCCTGCACGCTGGGTGCTTCTCTTGGCCCTGACCAGCTGTTGGATCCCCAAGCATCGAGAATAAATCCACGTTTTCAAGAAAAGCAAAATTTATTTCAAAGCGTTGAAGACATACTCAAACACGGTCTTTGTTAGAACTGGGGATACACAGTTAGGTCAAGCATAATAAAGGAACTTCAAACAGATACAGGTCCAATGAATAGCTTTCCCGCTGGCGGGCTAATGAAACAGTTGCGCGCCCAGTCTATGGGAACCAGGCAGAACATTAGACAAAACACAGGTGCAGTACTCATGGGAAAAGCAATAGCCAAGCATTACAGCATCTTCTCCCCCACACAACCTCCAGCAGTTATCTTTTGCATTCCAACGCAGGAGCAGGATGATAGAAACCAAGCCGGGTGCAACAGGGAAAGGATATGTACACAGAGGTCACAGAAAACAGAATGGCAGCTTGCTGACATACTGCCCCCCTTAAAATACACTTACAACACACCTCCCGGGTCGGGCGGGAGATCTCCCGGGCTGGGCGGGAGACCTCCCGGTTTGTCCGGGAACCTCTTGTGGAAACTACGGATCAGGTAAGGGGCCCGAATATCCCCTTCTTCCACCCATTCACGGTGCTGGGGACCGAAATCAACCCATTCGATAAGGTACCAGAGTTTACCACGTTTCAATTTACAATCAAGGATATCAGCGATCTCAAAATGTTCATCCCCTTCCAAAATGACAGGTGGAGGAGGAGTAGTCGCTGGTCTCCATGGAGACGGGCCAGGATCCTTCTTCAACAGGCTCATGTGAAAAACAGAATGTAGAGCACGTAAATTCTTAGGCAAAACAACATCAACCGCCACATCATTTATGACTTTACGCACTTTGAATGGACCTATGAATTTCCACCCCAATTTCCTGCTAGGCCGCAGCATCTTAATGTTCTTGGTCGAGACATACACAAGATCCCCAGGTTTCAGATCAAACCCCACCACCCTACCCTTGTCTGCCTGGGTCTTGTAAGCAGCCTTGGCGGCGTCAAGCGTTTGGCATAGCAGAGGCCATGCATTTTGCAAGGACATACACCATGTATCAGCATCCCCCACAGGACGGTGGCCCATCCCCTCCAGGAAAGGGAGGGGGGGGCTGTCGTAACCAGAGACAGCTTTATAAGGAGACATGCCCGTGGAGCTATGGACAGTATTGTTATAACAATATTCAGCAAGAGGCAACAATTCACACCAATCATTCTGTTGATAATTAGTAAAACAACGAAGATATTGCTCCAGGGTCTGATTAACTCGTTCTGTTTGTCCGTCAGTTTCAGGATGATACGCGCTGCTGAGCCCTTGTTCCACCCCTAAAATGGAAAGAAGTTCCCTCCAAAACTTAGAAACAAATTGGGTCCCCCTGTCAGAAATTAACTTAGCAGGTAATTGATGAATTTTCACCACGTGGGAACGTCAGGGAGCTCGGAGATGAGTGTGTAGGGAGATTCTCTTGTATAGCTCCAAGTCTGGTCAGAGAAATGGCATAGATCACCCACCTCTTGCATTTTGGACCTTACTAAGACTCAAGACGGATTACAGAATGGAAAGCAAGAAGCATAAGGCATAAAATGAACAATGCAAGCGAATACTGAATTAGAAGACAGTGAGAACAGTTGACTGCCTCAGGCAAGACTGTAAGCAGCATAATAATGGGCATTGCAAATGTAGAGAGGGCAATGCAGTATAAGCAGTAATCATTGCAACAGATTAGTTTTGTGTAGTGGTTAAGTGCAGTGGACTCTAATCTGGAGAACCGGGTTTGATTCCCTACTCTGGGTGACCTTGGGTCAGTCACTGTTCTCTCAGGAGCAGTTCTCTCAGAGCTCTCTCAGCCCCACCTACCTCACAGGGTGTCTGTTGTGGGGAGAGGAAGGGAAGGAGATTGTAAGCCATTCTGAGACTCCCAAGTGAAGGGTGGGGTATAAATCCAATTCTCCTCTTCCTCCAACGGGTGCACAGAGAATGCACAAGAATCAGTAGAGCTTTGTTCAAATGAGTGAAGCTGTCACGTGATAGCAGAAGAGGTAATTCTGCAGGCATGGGCCATTAAGAGGTACTGTAGGTGATAAGTAGCACCTTCAGTTAGACCTATTAACTTATCAGTAACCAGTGGAGTGAATGCAGAATGTGTGGGACATGCATGTAACTGGGTTGTAGTGTTCTCTATCAGCTGGAGTTTCTGAATTGACTTTGTCCTGTGTAGAATGTATTAATGTAGTCTTCGCATTTCATTTTTGTTATCTGACATTGATGCATATGTCTCTTATAAAGTTTCATTATTTGCCCTTGCTGCAAAGCATATATGTTCCAAGGTGGCATTGGGAAGGGGCATTATTTAGGCCACTGTATTAAATTAGTTATATTTTGTTACTGATCTCTGGTATTTTTGTATATTCTGACTCTAACCTATAGCTTGTCCACAATATAAATATAATAAATAAATATAAATAAATAAAGTTTATGTTTTGTAATGGCCAATAGCTAATTAAAATAAAACTGGAAACCATTGTCTTCTTAGTCATCTTCGGATTTCTTCGTTGCTGTCTCCCTTTTAGTTGATGATGGAGCCAAGAAATAGAAAATCTTGAACAATTTCATTTTTTCTTCGTAAACTTTGAAGTTGTGTGATTCCACAGTAGTAATTACTTTTGTCTTCTTTTTTTGGTGTTTTGTTTGTGTGTGTGTGTGCCTGGAAGTCATGGTTATCATCTTGCGACTTGTAGTGGGGCTTGGATGTTTCAGAGACATTTCACACACAAAAAAAAGTGGAAAAGGTTGTAATAATGGTGCAGCCTCACTGGGAAGACCACATACAGTTCTGGCTGCCCTGTGCCTTCTGTGTCGGCCTCAATTCATGTGGTATTGAATAGCATGCAGGCATCCTGAAGGGAGAAGATTCTCTTGGTAGTCTCCGTTTCAACTTCATAAAAACATAAAAAGAGCCGTGATGGGTCACATCAGTCTAATCCAGCATCCTGCTCTGAATGGCACAACACCCAACAAACAGGGCAAAAGGCCAGTGTCCCCTGATGTTGTAGCATCAGAGATTTGCTGCCTCTGAATATGAAGGTTCCCTTTACTAACCATGACTGGTAACCATGAATGGGCTTCTCCTTCATGAATCTGTATAACCCCCATTTAAAGCAGTCTGTGCTCATGGCCCTCCCACTGGCTGTGGATTCCACAGTTGTGAGAAATGGAGATGGCTTGCCATTGCTTTCCTCTGCAGTCTTCCTTGGAGGTCTCCCATCAAAGTCCTAACCAGGGCTGACCCTGCTTAGCTTCCGAGATCTGACGAGATCAGGCTATACCACGCCATCTTCCCTCCATACACTTCAGTTACTCATTGAGCAAAGAAGTGGAATGGAATTTCTGAGGGACTGCATCTCCCAACAGTTTGACACTGACGTTGCAGCAGATGCCTTTTCCTGAGGGGAGAGAAAGGGAGCTGTAAAGTTTTTGCTGTTTTCGGAGACCCCTTTATGTAACCCCTGTAAAGGCACCTCTCTGTAGTGTTCTGAAGTGGCGCCTGTTATGCTGCCTCCTTGCCTTCCTTAGTTTTCTTTCTTATTTTCACTGCCATCAAAGGCTCTTACGTTAGGCTTCTTAGTTGGACCCAAGGAACAGGACAGCTTAGTTATATTTGTGTACTGGCTCACAGGCTCTGAGTATCAGGTGCCAAAAGTCGGGCAAAGCAGAGTCGTTCAGTCCTAGGTCAGGGGTCCAAACGTCACCTGCTGAATCAGGGCTGGAGGGTGTTGCACCAGCTGTTGGCTGTGAATCCTACAAGCCTGCAGCTCATTTTCCTGCTGGTCAGCTTCTGTTAACTCAGTGCTAGCTACATGGGACTCCTCGTGAGGAGTCCTCTTTTTCTGAGGAGTTCTTGCTGTCACTGAGCCCTGGCTGACTCATGACAATTTGGTAAAATGACAGAAGAGTCAGCATGTGGGGATAGCTCTGAGGCAAAAGGGGATTCTTTGCTCTAAATAAAACAGTTGCTTTCTCTTAAACATAAGAGTTTATTTAGGAGTATAGCAGTGTAATGGTTTCAGTAAAGTTCATAAATGTAATGGTTTCGGATAGGTGCAAATCTTTCTGTAAAGTTCCTTCAGTAGATCTAGCCACAAAGGCTTATTTTCTCACTTGGACTAAGGAACTTCCACAAAGAACACAGATTTCTTTGAGACTTCACAGCATCTCACACTTCACCCACTCAGCTCTGTTCTTCCTCCACACACTGAACAATCCTTCTCAC